CAGCAAATACTTTGTCAGATGTGTTAGCTAAGCAAGGGGTAAATAGGGAAGAATTATTTTGGGCTCAGTTGTGATTATTGTTTTTCTTTCCTAGTTTACTTGTAAGACTCAAGGAGGGGCTGCAGCTCGTGCCTCTCGTTGGGATGATGTATGAACTCACTCTAAAGTTGCTTCTGAATCAATAAACTTATTATTATTCATCAAAAAAAAGATGGTTGCTGCTTGCTAATGGAACCTAGGAATTTGCCCTAGGATTCATGGTTTTTTTATTCAAAAAAAAATCCCAAATCCCATTGAATAGGTGACTAGGCAATAAGGTGCCCCCTATCACCTATTCTCGCCTCGGCACCTTGAAAATTATGATTCAGGTATGAAAATGGAATAACATAGCTGGTCCTTCACTCAAAACCATTAATCTACATCTTTGTTTAAACTGCTGACCCCATTAACATACTCTGTCCCTCCAACTGACTCGATCTCTCTCCCACTTGATAGAAGCCAGAGACCAAGATTATTGTTGGATGGCAGGTGGATACCAAAGAGAACTTTGTCTATGTTAATTACTTCAACAAAATAGAAATGGATTTTATTTAAATCCGTTTTGATTTGAATTATTATTTTGAACATATAGAAAGGATCTTTAAGCACTACCTAGAAGATGTTCTCACAAGTTTATTAGAAACAACATAAATGTAGAAATTTAGCAATAACCCTATTACCATACAGGAGTAGAGTGTAGAAGCTTTCCTTCTATGGAAGATTTGTTCTCTCTGTGAAATATTTGTGTGGGTGTACAGACCAAAGTTATTAATTAGTCATTCATTTATTTTAAGTTACTAGCACGTGAAAACTTTGCACAGCTGTCAAACACAGACTTTGTTCTATCTGGTTCTTGATCTATATCTATTGTAATCCTGGTATGCCCCACAGCCCCTACCTTCTTCTCTAGCCAACAAACACCGCCCAGCCTTAGCTCTAGCCCCAATGATGTAGAACTGATTGCTCTGGTACCAAGTGATGTAGGTTCAACTGTTCTAATACAGTAATACCAACTTATGTAGCATGGTCTTAGGATGATCAAGTCTCTCAAAATATAATAAGGGGAAATGTAGAGAATCAAAAACAAAAAATAAAAGAGGAGTCAAACATCTCGTCCTAAATCAAGTATGGAATCACTCCAACATTCAAGTTTAATACAAGGCCTTCAATGGAGTCAAACCAAGGAGGAAAAGTTTTGGGAAAAGTGACAAAGGTATGATTTTAATGTACTATGCCAACTAAGCATAGTGCAGGAAAATTTTGAATTGAACATCCTTGTTCTTAAAGCTATGCCCACCAAGTCCTAACTCAAGCACAAACCCTATTTTGTGTTCAATATATTATCATCCAAGAACAAAAAAAAAAGAAAATTTTGTTTCTTTAAATTCTTTCTTCCTGTTATTAAGATTGAAACTACCTTTCTAGAAGCATTGTTAATGGGAATCCAAATGGATAAATACTTTTTTGATAAGTAATAAGATAAGTTTCATTAATAGAGAACCAAATGGATAAATACTCAATCAAATCAATATGAAAAATAAAAAGAAAAGAAAAAAGAATTGTGCTATAGCTTTGTATAGTAATAAAGGAAATATAAAGAAAAAAACACTTCATATTTGATGGATCTCAGCTCAATAGCTAACAATAATTGAGAGAAAGAACACTGGATGTTTAAAAGCCATTTTGTAAGTAGCTGGAAGATGTTGAATACAAAGAAGGCCTAAGAGGCACAAGTTCCAATAGGAAAAAAATTTGTGTCCCATATTCCCTAATTGTAAGAGATAATCTAAAAGTACCCATATCAATAATTCTTTATTTTGTAATTTAAATAGCGATATCAATAATTTCCCAATAACCTTTGAGCATCACACCCAGAAGAAACAAAAAGGCATAATTTTATTCTCAATCTTGTCATTCTCCCTTGCAACAATATCATGAACCATATATAGACTTCATCCCCTAACCTAAAGACTTGTATTCACTCTCCAATCCATACCTAAAGTTGGAATTTCAAACTAACTAAAACTCCTAAACATTGGCTTTTCGAGCCATTACAAGTTTGGCATGAATTTCTAATAATTAACTTTTAGAACAAATTGCAAACAAAATAAATTCTATAATTACTTAAAAACTAATTCAAAACATGAAAACATAAAAATTAGAAATCCTGTTGCAAACTCATCAATTGTCTGTAAATTGGTAATAACTCACTCAATGATTCAAGTTATGTCCTAATCACATTTTGGTCTTGTTGAATGGGTAACTAATAACCTATCTAATGACACCAAAATCAAGTAAAATGGTAAATTTGGAACTTTCATATTTAAGATGCAAGTTGGGTAATGGACCTGAGATTGATTTCTCTCTGATTTTTAGTCAGGGCCCAACTTTGATTATCATCTCATTCTTGTTCCACATCACCCAATTCTAGCCCAAATCCCTCAGTTTATCACCCTTACCTGTATTCGTTAGCATAATTCCTTACCTTTATTTTGGTAACAAAATCCCTTACCTACATCAAGGAAAAACTATTAACCCCGAGATCATATCTAATTTGCTTTTGCTAGATAAACCCCAAATATTTTAATTTTGGACCTTCATACAGGACCTCCTAGACCTTTCCTCTATCAAGCCCCCACATTACCATCTCCAAGGTGTATATGAACATAATTGTTTGCCTGGTTTGTAAATAGAGAATAAACTATTTATGGCATGCAGTAAGGTGTTTGAACATAACAATATCTTGTTAGTTGTCAAAGAACCACCAAACATCTCAATGTTTTCAAGGGCATTCTGTTAAAATATCAAGCATCAAGATGGACACAATAGAAAGTAACAACACATTCAAACAATTATTAGCTAATGATCAATGATCTGTGGGACAATATAAACTCTTTAAAGAGATAAAATAGCAGATCATATAGAAAGTAATAAAAAGAAAAAACTCACCATGGTTATACATCACCAATATGAGAATGCCAAAGGTATTGGTGCCCCAGAGCATTCAATGGGGATGCTAGGTGAGAAAGCTTTGGGTTCCACTGAAGCACCAAATCAAGTTATTTCTGTTCATTATGTGTCTTGCCAAGAAGACATCTCTCAATTGCTTCATCACAAAGCTCAAGAGTCATCTCCATGTTCCCTTCTCCATAGTTTAGGTCCACAAAAATGTTGTATATTTCTCTATCTGGAACAAGACCTTCTTTCCTCATCTCTTCAAACAGTGTCTTTGCCTCAGTAAATTTCCTCTTTTTATAGAGCCCCTTGATGAGTGCATTGTAAGAACTAGCTCTGAGGCTAAACCCTTTCTCAACCATTTCAGTGTGGAAGTAGCATGCCTCTTTCATGTTCCTGGCTCTACAATGCCCCTTTATTAATATGTTATAGGTGTCACTGTCAGGCATGATCTCTTGAGCACACATCCCTCTATAAATTTCAGTGGTTGCCTTCATATTATTTCCAACAGAGTACTGCTTCATAAGAGAATTATATGTGGTTGCATTTGGCTTTATACCCTTATCAAGCATCCAGTTTAGTAACCTCTTACCATCTTCTAGCATCCCCGACATACAAAATCCATTCATAAGCACATTAAATGTCACAACTGTTGGTTGAAGCCCTTTATCCAGCATCTCACGGAGAAGCTCATGAGCTCGTACCATCTGTCCTAACTTGCAATAAGCATCCATTAGAGTGGTATAAGTAATGGTATCTGGATGAAGCCCTGCCATCTCCATGTCTTCCATGAGCTTAACTGCCTGCATGATATTTCCAGCCTTGCAAAGACCATTAACTAGTGAATTATATGTATAAATATTCAGCTTCAGGCCCTTTCCGCACATCTCATGGAGAAGTTCATTTGCAGTTTCCACCTCCCCGCGTTTACAGAGGCCATCAGCCAGTGTTGTGTAAGTTACAATATTCGGGGTCAGTCCCATCTGAACCATTTGATTGTGAAGAGTAAAAGCCTCTTTCATCTGACCTGCCTTGCAATAACCATCAATAAGCGTGGTATAAGTAACTTCATCTGGATTCAATCCCTTACTGAGCATCTCATGGAAAAACTTTTCAGCTTCAATCACCTTTCCACTTCGACAAAGCCCACAAATCAGAGCAGTATATGTTATAGTGTCAGGAATAAGTTTCTGGCTCCGCATTTCATTGGAAAGTCTATTTGCAGCAGGCAAATTCCCAGATTTGCAGAACCCATCAATAAGTGTTGTGTAGACGACATTATCTGGAACTATACCATGATTAATCATCTCCCTCAATACTCTCTCTGCTTCCACTACTTTATTGTTTCTACACAAATAAATGATTATGCTATTGTAGGTAAATGGGTTCGGCTTCAAACCTTTTGTGCCCATGTCTCTTATGAGCTCCAATGCACTTTGAAGCTCCCCAACATGACAATAGCCATCAACAACAGTACTGTAGCCTATAGCATCTGGCAAGCACCCCTTTGATTCCATTTGAAGGAGAAAGGAGTGAGCTTCCTTTACTTTCCCTAACCTACAGAGAGTGTGAATTATAATATTGTATGATGCAGTATTCCAGCAAACACCAACCTCAGGATATTCATTAAAAATCTTCAATGCTATGTCAGCCCCATTAGAGATGTTTGACAAACGAGAGAGTAGAAAATTACAGGAACCAACAGAGATAACCACCCCATAGTTCAACATTTTGTCAAACAGTTTCCTTGCCTCATCAAACATGCCAATCTCTACAAGGACTTGAAAGAAAATGTCAAAGACGAGGGGATTGCAACCCCAGTCTTTATAGGTGTAAATCAACCGTTCAACAAAATGACTAAATGAGAGACCGACATCAAGATTTGGCTTCGTCCAGAAGTCACTGATAAGTCCACGTGCCATCTTTGGCTTTTTGGAAGACACAGCAATCTGAACAACGATGCAACGGACTTCCAGCGACGGATCTTTACGCAAGCATGCCCAGTCGAAGAAATCAATAACCAATTTGCAATCGTTCTTGATTTTCATGAGTACCCAGATGATGTGATCAGACCTGAATTTGGATTCAAATGATCTTAATATTCGGTGGAGGGGCTCGGAGCGGCGTTGCTTAATGGCGGTTGAAAGGTGAAGGACAAACTCGGAATCTCTAATAGTGGGTTTTTTCGGGGAATAATCGGGGAAAGGCCTGGTACCGGAGTAGACAACGGAAGAAAAGTTGCGGCTCAAGCTCCCGAAGAAGAAGAAGAATGAAACGGCATTTTGAGAATAACCCAAGTGAGAAGAGTAAGGGACCTGAAACCGAAGATGCAAGGAGGAGAAAGCATACCTCTTCATGTCTGTGGGAGACCCATGATAAGAGAAAGAGAGTGGCAAGCTTGTTCATGCAGTCGCTCTCCATTTAGGACACAAGAATTTCATGGTTTCGTAGGATGCTGCTCGCTGGATCTTTGATAAAATGTCGCAGAGGCTCGACGCGGGCTCGGTGCGCCGTCTATTAGGCCCACTAGAGGTAGGAGTCAGAGACCGGCAGGGACCTCGTCTCAACCACAAAGGGTAGGATGTGCATGTGCATGTGAGGCGCCAGGTGTGAGGAGCAGATCCGGTCTCACCACGAATGTAGACTCAGGACTGTGTCTAAATTTAATTTACGATGAATATCTCGTCAACGGTTTGCGTTGCCCAAAATGGGGGCTCAAATCTCAATGGATTATAATTGCTACATGTTAGTCAGTTATTAGTTGCCTTTCTCAAACGAGTCAGTTTGTGAAGAGTACCGCAAAAATAGAAAAAATTAATGTTGTATATATGGTTTTATACTGAACATTTTTGTATTTACACTTCCAAATGGGCCTGGATTGATTGATTGATTAAACAATGAGTGCTGATTCGTTGGTGTATTTCATGGTTTGGTTAATCGAATTATGGACATTTTTTGTAAATTGAATCGGTTTTATTGGTTTTTCAATTTTTTTAAAATCGAAATTGAACCGGTTAATTGGTCTACTGGTTTTGGTTTTTGACCGATTCGGTTCTTTAGTTTTTTGGTTTTTTATATTATATAAATATATGTATAATATTATATTATAAATAATAAATGATATATAATATATTTATAAATAGATTATTATAAATATAATATATATATATATTTATATATAATTCATATATATTTATATATAATATATAGAAAATATGTGACATATATTTAAAATATACATATAAATATATATATTGGTCGGTTTGGTTAACCATCGGTTTTTTCTAAGGTAACTGAAAACTGAACTGGTCCTTCAGTTTTTCAAAAAAACCAAACCGAAAACCAAACTGATCGGTTTGATTAACCACATTTTCCCATTCGATTTTCTTAGTTCAGTTTGGTTTTTCATTTTTTTGGTTTTTCATGGACACCCCTAGTATTAGCTAATTTATTCCAGCATTGACATGGAATGGATCTCGCAGCAAACACTTTGGGAAAAAAAGGGTCAAGGGGAAGTTACCAAAAAAAATTGGGCCTGGATTGAACTGCTCAGGGTTGAGTTTGAACAGGATCAGATAGCCTAATGTGGTATTATTCCAATCTATTCATATTTATGCATGTTTTATATGTACTAGAGTAAGAGTATGTGGATAAGTATCTGTATTAATTATGAATGAAACGTGGTATTTGAATTTAGGTTTTATGACCTGCAAGAAATTCAATGCAAGTATGTGGATAACCTTCTAGCCTGTTATGTATTTCAAAATGTGAGAGGAATTTTTTCTACTTCTAATGTTTGTATATAAGCTAACCCAACTTTGGATAATTTTCTATTGTATCCTTCTATGTTAATGAGATTATCAATTTAAAATCAAAATAATTTTTTTCCCAATCTCAAAGAACTATTTAACCTAAAAGCTTAAATTGTTAGGCGAGGTCCTAGATAGGTTTTCATTCTCTAATGCACTCACTCGCATGAAAGTCTATGGGCTTGAAGTGTGGACAATTACAAGTCCATTCACACTTTATGCTTAAATATAATTAATTATAATGGGGGAACAAGGATCAAACACTATACCACATGGTTAAACAAGCTCTCATACCATCTCAAATAAATGTTCAACCTAAAATTTTAAGATGCTAGATGAGGTCCCTTAATAGGTTTTTATTCTTTAACACTTTAAATCATGAATAAATACCCACCCTTTAAAAAATTAACTGCACCTTAAATTTGTTATGACGCTATTCTTATATTGACCTAGATAAATTTTTGCCCTCAATTCTATTCGACAATCACTTGTCATTAACTATGATTTAAACTTTTAACTGACACAAAATTTGTACTTTTTGTCTCATTTTGCACTAATTGTATAAATTTTGCATCTAAAAAAACTGATGCAAAATTTGCACCCTAATTTGATTTTCTCCCATATAGAGCGAGGATCACCTCTTTTTGCTTCCTACCTTACATTACTCCCAAATAACCAATCTTCTATTTCCATTCCCTTTCATTTAAAGTAGAGGCCACATTATTCGACTTCCCATTTTATTTCAAACAAGCAAATTAACAAAGTCTGGAAGCAAAAGTAAACTAGAATTTGAACTCAACTCATTTTGACTCCCCTCATCCCATGCATTTATTCCAGTGCTAATGAAATTCACACTATAAACAAACTAAGCTTGAGGTTGTCATTTTTTACTTGTAAGTTTGCAAAAAAAAATCACTAATTAATGATTAATTAGTTAACTAATTAATTGTAAAATGAATGAATAAAGTATTATTCATTAATAATTAATGAATAATAAAATATAAAATAATAAAAATATTACTAATTACCTAATTAATTAGTACGAATTAAAATGTTAATTAATTAATAATTATTCAATAATTAACAAAAAAATAGTTAATAATTAATTAATTAAGTAATTGATGAATAATTAAATAGTCATTTTAGTACTAGCTTACATAATAAATAAATAATAATCGCATTAATTAAATAAAAACAATTATTAATACAAAATAGAAATTATTTATTAATTCATAATAAATATTAACTAATTAATAATTAATTAATTATCTAAAAATAAAAAATATATATCTTTCTTAATTAATGATAAAATTAATTAATAATGAAAAATATTACTAAATACCTAATTAGTTAATAAAGTAATAATTGTTATTAGGGTTGATTTTCCCACTATTTTTTCTTTTATAAGCAAACAAGGGAAATTTTTTCTGTTTTTCCTTTCTCATCCCATCCCATCCCATCCCACTAAAATGTTCCCTCAAACCAAACACAACCATGTGATAGATGAATTTAAAACACGGGTTGTTATAGGCAGTGGACGAGACCTAAAAAACCTCACCATGAGCCTTTCACCAACGGGAAAAAAAACAAAAAACAAAAAACAAAAAACAAAAACAGCCTAAAGGGCTGAAAATATAATGAAAAATTCTCATTCACCTTTTTTCTGGGAAACAAATCGATGGATAAGCAAATACAACCTACACAGCTCAACAAGATAAATACTGATCTGACACATATGTTGTATATCGACTAAAGTTTCCTATATCAATATCAACTGTATAAAGCTCAAGCCCATCATTAATATCCACTAATATTTTTTTTTTATATAATAAATGATGATGATGAAAGTGCCAAGTCTTGTACATAAACCTCCACCCCCCCCAACCCATCATTACTATCCAGTAATATATTTTTTTTTTGTAATAAATGATCTCATGATAATGAAAGTGCCAAGTCTTATACATAAAAGAATTCCCCCTCACCCATTGGAGTTCTTATTTATGAGTATGAATTTGTTTTGAGAATGAACAAGTTTAAGGGAGATCACATTTTATGTCACGATAGTCACAATCTGGAGACCCTCAATAAAATGAGTTTGGATCTGCTCCTCATAGAGCGTGATAGAGTGCGCCTCATAGCATGTTTTGGAGATCCTCAATAAAATGAGTTTGGATCTGTTCCTCATAGAGCGCGATAGAGCGCGCCTCATAGCATGTTTTGGTAGTGCATCTGGAACATCTCTGTGTTTGTGAATTTTTATTCATGGAAGATGTTTCAGACAAGGTTCAAAGTATCGATTTGTTCCTATGTATCAATAGAGGCGTGTATACTAAACAGGTGTATTAGGACCTGTTTTATTTAAAAAAATAGAGGCATATCGATAAATTTTTCATACATATTTTTTATTAAAAAAAGAAGGGTCCCTAAACACTATTGGGACCCTAAAGATACAATGGGCATATCATATCGAAATTTTGAACCTTGGTTCCATATGCATGGCTGAAACATGCTGTAAGATTAGTGTGAGACCCACTCTATAAGAAGTAAATCCAATTTCCAATAAAATGCGAGAAAAGACAAAACATCACATCAACAGTTTTTTTGCTTTAAAACACTTACATGTTCACATTTCATTGGGGGTTGAATGCAAACACCAGTCACAGGAAATCTTTTCTCAATTTAAGGAGAACTAGCGGGGACCCGTGCAATGCACGGGATTTGCTAGGAAAAAGTGAAATAAAACAATGTAGCAAAATAATAGACTTTATTAATGTAATCAAAACAAACTAAAAATAAAAATACAATTTTTACCCCTAATAAAACACTAATGCCCACTCTCTTTTTCACTATTTGGTCAATTTTGCTTTTTTTATACAAAAAAAGTGTTAAGGGTACTTTTGAAATAAATAATCATGGATCCATAACCCTTGAACATTTTCCACTTAGTTTAAGGGTACTTCTGGAATAAACAACCATGGGTCCATGCTCTTGGACATTTTCCACTTAGCTTAGGTGATCATGATACTATTTTCAAATGACAAATCAAATAGTTATTAATAAAAGTTTCATTAAGTAAATAGGTTGCAAACTATAAGGTGTGTTTTAGTAAAGTGCAAACTATAGGGTAGGTTTAAGTAAATCTATAAAACTATATTTGTTAAGAAAAAGTAAAATAAAATAATGTAGCAAAAGCAATAAACTTCACTAATATATTAGTGTAACTAATGTAACAAAACAATAGACTTTATCGATGTAATCAAAATAAACTAAAAATAAAAATACCACTTTTGCCCCTAATAAAACACTAATGCACACTCTATTTTTCTCTATTTGGTCAACTTTGCTTTCTATACAACAATGTTAGGGGTACTTTTGGAATAATACTCTAGTTTTCACTATGCTTTATTAATAAATACAATATTTTAATAAATAAAGTATTTTAATAAATACTGTTATTTAATTAATAATATAATAATTACTAAAAATGATGTATTTATTAAAAACACAGTAATTATTAAAAATATAGTATTTACTAAAATACTATATTTATTGAAAATACGGTATTTGTTAAAATTCTCTAATTATTAAAAATATTGTTTTGAATAATACAATATTTTAATAAAGTACTACCGATTAATTAATAATACTGTAATTATTCAAAATATTGTATATATTAATAATAGTTATTAATAAAAGTTTCATTAAGTAAATAGGTGCAAACTATAAGGTGTGTTTTAGTAAAATGCAAACTATAGGGTAGGTTTAAGTAAATCTATGAAAATATATTTGTTAAGAAAAAGTGATAAAATAATGTAGCAAAAGCAATAGACTTCACTAATATATTAGTGTAACTAATGTAACAAAAAAAAGACTTTATT